AATTTGATATGTATGCTATTTTGTTGTATTGACAACATGCTTCAAAACTTCATATGTCAAATTTTCTGAAGGTGTTAACATCATAGATATTTTTACACTTAAAATTTAGAATTTCATGCAAAAAAAGAGCATTTGTGGGAAGTTTTAATTCATTACTTATTTTGAAGAAAAGTGATGCTGAAAGTTATCATATACTTCAGGAAGCTTTATGGTGAACATGTTCCATTTCAAGATACTTATGAACACTAGTTTAAATGCTTTAAAGAGATAATTTCGATGTGAAAGACAAAGAACATCCAGGTCAATCGAAAAAGTTTGAAGACCAACAATTACAAGCATTATTGGATGAAGATGCATGTAAAACTCAAAAACAACTTGCAGAAAGATTAAACGTTGCTCAGCAAACAATTTTTGATTGTTTACAAGCAATGGGAAAGAATTTAAATGAAGGAAAATGGGTGCCACATCAACTGAATGGAAGACAAATGGAAAACCGAAAAGTCATCAGTAAAATGTTGCTTCAAAGGCATGAAAGAAAGTCTTTTTTGCATTGAATTGTGACTGGTGATGAAAAGTGCACTTATTTTGAGAATCCCAAATGCACAAAATCATGGGTTGATCCAGGTCAGCCATCAACATGGACTACAAGGCCAAATTGCTTCGGAAAGAATACAATGCTCTGAGTTTGGTGGGATTAGGAAGGTGTGGTGCATTACGAGCTTCTAAAACCAGGTGAAGCCACTAATACTGATCGCTACCGACAACAAATAATCAATTTGAACCATGCTTTGATCATAAAATGGTCAGAATGGGCTAGAAGACATGGCAAAGTAATTTTGCTTTATGATAACGCACCATCACACACTTGAAAACCAATTAAAGACATGTTAAAAGATCTTGCCTGGGAAGTATTAACACACCCACTGTATTACTGTATTCACCAGACCTTGCTCATCAGAGTACCACTTGTTCCAATAGATGTAACACGCACTTTCTGAGCAGCTCTTCAAAACTTACAAAGAAGTGGAAAATTGGATCTCTGAATGGTTTGCCTCAAAACAAGAAAAGTTCTGTTGGAACAGTATCCAGGCGTCTTCAAACTATGGCCCGCGGGCCACATGCGGCCCGCAGAGGAGTCTGATCCGGCCCGCCAGGTTTTTTGGGCAGTGAGCGCAGCCGAGGTGTTACAGTAGGAATTAGTAGTTCATATAGTCTGGCCCTCCAACTCTCTGAGGGACCGTGATCTGGCTCCCACTTTAAAAAGTTTGAGGACCCCTGATGGGGGGGGAGGGTACATGGGGGGGACGCGTGTAGCTAGCAATGGGCATTACTTTGAATAAAGCACTTTTAATGTTTCTCTTGAAATTATTATGTTTTCTTTGATTAAAAAATCCGCATTATTAACTGGTACAACTAGCACATTCTCTAGCAGGTTATATACTAAAATGTTAATGGTGTTTTCTTTGGGACAGTGGAATTACAGGTAATATCTTTTCATATCTTCTTATCACCTAATTTGTTTAAAATGGATATCATATAATTCTGGAACACTGAAAAAAAAAATAGCACCACCCACTTAAACATGTATAAATCATTATGGTACCAGTAGAAAGATATAATTGCTTCTGATATCCAATTTTAGTCCAGAAAATGACCTGGTTAGTTTAGCAAAATCATCAATGTGTTGCAAAATATATTGGAGGAAAGAGATTTTATTTCTTAAAATTTTGAAAAATATGGAATTATTAACATTTTTAAAATAGAAGAATAGAATACCTATTTTTTTAAAATTCTCACTCGATATGTTTTTTATTGATTTTAGAGAGAGAGGAAGGGGGATAGAGAGAGGGAGGGAGGAAAAGAGGGAGGAAGAGAGAGAGAGATAAACATCAATGTGAGAGAGAAACATTAATTGGTTGACTCCCATACATACCCGAACTGAAGATCAAACTGAAACCTGTGTATATGCCCTGACTGGGAATTGAACCCACAACCTTTTGGTGTATGTGATGTTCCAGCCAACTGAACCACCTTGTCAGGGTAGGCATACCTCATTTTTAATGTTTAAGTAATTTTATGAATAAGGCAAATATGACATGATCTTTTACAGGAAGCAAATTTATAAAGTGAATTGAGTTAAGATAGCATAATAAATGTGCAACACCTTTCTATCTATTATAGATAGATAATAGCACTGAAGTGACTTAGATATATAAATTCTATATTCTATAATCTGACTTAGATTGTGGAAAAATTGGTCAAAGGAGAGTAGGCGTGCACTTAATGGTATGGACTGGCTCATGCTACTTCTTAATTGTGTAATAAGTTTAGGATGAATAAAGAAATTGTTTTGCATCAACTTAATTTCTCTGAAACCTCTAGTATTCCCTGAATGAAATTTTAAATAATGGAGATTCTATTTCTTCCTATTGGGCCATGTGTGGTCTTTGTATACATGAATATATTTTTAAAAGACAATTTAGGTGATTCACAAAAACATATATGTATTACTAACCTTATATATAACATGCAAAATTATGTATATTAACATATATCATATTTCATAGAATATATTTGTATTAAAATATGTCTGAATATATATTAAATACTTTACATGTTTATATAAAAAAGAATTTTTCTTTCATGTGGAAAATTAAAC